CTCGAGTTCTTTCAAACTTTTTCCTACTATCTTAAAGCAAAAAAAGTAATACAAATAATGATTTTGTAATATACCTCGAAATCGTGGTATAAGCTCGTGAAGCACAAGTGGTGAACTTGACCAAACTTGGCACAACCATGACAAAACTCGACAAACTGAGGAACTGATCACGACTGATCACAACAATCATAACTAACCATAATTGCGCTCGATTTGGATCGATTTTAAATCGATTCTGACGCCATATTGCTTTTCTGGCTTCGTAGTTTATTGTACTGTGTTAGATGGCGCTGAAGACACTGACAAATTTTTTTCTATTGGCGACGCAAAGATTTCCCGAGCGCTCCTAGTGACGAAATGTGGAACTAGCGTAAAGCAGACAAACTAAAACTGTGGCTTCGTAGATTATCTTGTATAAAGTTAAATGTCTTTTTAAATTTATTTTTGAAATGTTATCCATAAGAGATGTAGTAAAATTAACAGAAGGCTTTGTGAGACCCATGTGTGAGGGTGAAGAAATTTTAAATAAGTGGACTAATCATTTACGTTGGCAAAAGAGATAAAAAAGATACCACAGTGCAAGCGCTTGTCCTTAGAACCTTTGGCCTGAGCAGTCAGCATCTTTATTTAATTGAATTTTGGATTGATGTAGCAAAGAATTTTGGCTCAAGAGTTATAAATGAACAGTCTTTGGAATGTGGATGTCCAGTTGGGCAATCACAAAAATGTAAACATGTTGTTGCAGTGATGCTGTACTTGTCTCGGTTTGTTCATTTAGTTATTATATTATTGGATACTTTCATTGTAAAATTTTTATGAAAAATCATATAAAGAAGTTTGCTTAAATAAATTAGTCTTTTTTTAGAGTCGAAGAGTCAGAACTAAACAATCTTAGTTGCACTGACATCGAGCAACAATGGGGTTCATTAAAATCTGCTACTTTCAAGGAATATGAAGTCTTTTTGAATTGTGTCATATAAAGTCACAGAAAGATGTATACATATCAACTTTACCAGAGGTTACAAAGGAGATGGAGCAAAGATGGTGTGATCGATTAACAAGATGTAAGCGAACCGCATAGTATTGTAAAATATTTTCAACTCATAAATATAAATTTTTTATGATTTTTTTATATTTAAAATTATACTTAGTTATATGTAGAATTAAGTCTGTTGTTTATAATTAAACTTGGTTACAAAGTCTCTTTTTTTTCTTTCAATATAGAAGAAAAACGATAAACTCTAAACTACTGCAGTCAATTTATTAACTATGAAAACCTATAATATATCTATTGTTTACTCGGAATAACAAATACATTCTAAGATATATAATATTATTAGATTTATATCATCGTCTTATTGCTACTTACATATGTCCAATCGTATGAATATAGGCTAAGAAATTGTGTAATATTTTGATCTGATTTAGAGTTGCCACTGACTTAAAAATTATATTTAATTACGTGATTTAAAGATGGTAATCTAATTATAATCTTATCCAATGAATCTTCACTAAGAATATCTGCAAGACTATGCTTCTCTTTATTTTTTGGACATAAGGATCTGTCAGTTCCATTATTTGATAAGTTCATTTGAACAGCTGCCTCAATTGAAAATTTTCGTACACTTTTATGAAATTCTAGAGTAGCTCATTCAACTGTTTCTTCCTCTACTTCAAGAGACACTAAGTTGTCAATATTATTTATGGTTATATTATTCCCTACAGTAAATAAATAACAATATATTAACTTATTCCATATACTTTTTGTAGCTAATCGTAAAATAAATAAATATGAATACACAAACCTTTGCTTTTTAGCCCATAATTTAGCTCGATATGATCTACTTTCTATTTGACGTTTTTTTGGTGATGTCATTTCAGTTTCCAAACTACGCTGTGGAATATTTTGAGAGGGTACAGACGTTGGAAATAACTTGTGTCTCTTTAATCCTAAATTAAAGTCAATTAAAAGTTTAAAAAGCAGCAGTGGACAGTAACACAACAACTTGGAAGAGCATGCAAAGATATTTTCGTATATTCAAACTATACAAATAAAAATATTTCAAAAAAATGTCAACACATGTATAAATATAAATATAATAGACAATTTCGATTACTAATTTTGTTAACTTGCCTCCTGGAAAATAGTCTTGAGGTGAAAAATGTTTTGAACAAACGCGCATATATTGCGAAACTGGTTTACCCATTCTCAAAGCAATCTCCCACTTTCTTCTCAAATTAGGCTCCTTGAGGAAATAATGGAAATATACTTTCGGATCACTATAAGTTTTACATTGCGCCACACAACAAAAAGTAGTAACACGTTTTTTCGCATCGTGTTTGCGATTCATTATTTATTATAATAATTTTGATGTAGGCTGTTACGTATAAAATAATTGCGCTGTCTGATTTACGTCAGTTCCACTTACGGCCGCTAGGCGCGCTGGGGAGAATCTTTGCGTCGCCAATAGGAGTTGATGAACCCTGACTGAAGCAGACTCGAGGGAGTGAGGTATCGCCACCGAACGCCGCGACGGGAGTTAAATTTGTAGACGGTATTGTCGCGCTAGTACTACGGATTTTAGGCCGGAATCAGACTACGCATTGAAGATTGAAATTGAAGATCGAAAAATTCAAATTTGACCAATCGAAACGAAAGGAATTAAAATTTCTTTATTCTTATTGATCAAATTTCAATCTTCAATCTTCAACCTCAATCTTCAATGCGTAGTCTGATTCCGGCC